CCCTTACCTCAACTGAGCTCTTCATATAATGCAGAACTAAATGCAATCCTACAATCGCTGAAATGGGTCAACGATCAATGCAATGCATACGAAACCGTTATTTTATCAGATTGCCAAAGTGCATTACAATCTATTGAAGCCTGCACGGATTCCTCTAATGAATTCGTCGTTGACATCAAATCTTCATATTTTCAAACTATCGCTATGGGGAAACGAGTCACCTTTTTATGGATCCCCGGGCATAAGGACATTCCGGGAAACGAACGTGTTGATTTACTAGCAAAGCAAGCTACCATTTCTCCAAACTCTGCTGCTTGTATAGACATTGAAGAAAATGAAGCTAAATCTTTGTTGTCTGATGTTTGTCATCGCAAATGGGATACCGAATATATACAAAGTGAAGATACAAATCATTTTAAAATGTTTCACCCAGAACTACCCATAATTCAATATTCAAACTTACACCGGAAGTACGAAATAATGCTCTTTCGTTTACAGACGGACATTGTCGATTAAATAGCCATTTACAAAAACTGGGATGTCATCAAGACGGACTATGCTCTTTTTGTCACGTAAAAGAAACCGTTGCTCATTTAATTCTGTTCTGCAGACGTTTCAACAATCAACGATCCAATTTACTAAAATTATGTGCCGAATATGATGTACCATTTCGGCTTCAATATTTACTAACAGATTGTAAAATTTACGCACCATACGACCCCTATCACACACACACACACACACACACACTTTGACGTCGTACTAAGCTTGGCGCACTTGCTTTTTCGCATGTCCAGATATTGGAAACCTCATGAATGCATGAGGTGCATTATATCGTAATATATGGAGTTATAAAATATACGAGTTCAAAATTCAATACAGTATCTATTTTGTTCACCCCGTCACTATTCTTATCAAAAGAAAAAAAATATTTATTGAGGTCTTAGCGAGAATGGCGACGACAATTTGAGATACGGTACCGGTACCGTACAAAATACAGAAAGGGTGGGAGTAACAAGGTACAGGTACCGGTACCGTAAAAGCAGGTAACTTCGGATGATTTCACTATATTATGAACAATTTCTCCGCCGTTTATTGTTCAATTGAAGCCAAACTTGGAATATAATACATTGAAGCCTTTCTCCTCGCGATAAACTCGGTTTCATATCAATCAATACTTTTTTTCATTCAAATTATTAACTTTATTTGCCTGCCGATCTGTATTCCAAATGTTTATAACTTCGGATGGCCACTTTTCGCTTTGCGTCACTTCGTCGTGAGAGAGAAATGTCTGCGTGATCAGTGACGCGTGATAACGTCGCTGCGTAGAACTTACGACGCCGTGATCCGTTTTGCGTGTCGCACACTGACGTTCATCTATGACGGCCGTTTTTGTGATTATTAATTCTTCCGGGTCGGCGGACATCAAAGTTTTATATATCTGGTGTACCCGTGTGTTTACATCGGCAACAGCTCTTGAAGACAAGAAGGACTGATTTCAAAACCCAAATTAATTTTGTTCTGATTTAATCTTATGTGTTGGCTTTGATCTTACTTATCACCGTTTGTATACTATTAATCGTTCGAGTTTAAAGCGAACGGTGATATTATTATCGTCGCCGAGATGGAGATATTTATTAAGACGATGATTGATGTTGTTATGCTTTGCACCCGCGATTGTGCGAATACTGAATTTTTATTTATAATAATGATTGAATAAATCGGCCGTTATGCATTTATACTTGTCATAAGGCTTTTGGTCCTGATAGCGGGTCGGACACTAATTATAACTATTTCCCTCAAGTTTTAACTTTTTTTTTGAACAAAACAATACCCCAACGGTTATTATAGCTAAAACCGTTACCGACTAATTCACAATTTTATCTGCGGAATTTGCGAACTCAGCACTTTACTCGACGATTTTGACAGTGTCGCGCCATAATTATTACCGCTAAATGCTTCAAAATACAACGCATGTAATAATTTTGCCCAGCCCTATTCCTGACGTTTCGCAAAACTAAACCATTTATCTCTTGACTATTCTTAATTTCATGAAAGTGCTATATCTTGCTATTATGATCGTTCCAATACGAAACAAAAATGAGACAACATGGGACAAATGAAAATAAAAAACGGACGAATAAAATAAGTCGTGAAAGTAAAAATGGAAAACAATTTTTAATACAAAACAAAAATGAAACGAATGAAAATAATAAAAAAGAAAAATGGATGATGAATTACGGTAGGTAGTAAAAGTAAAAAAAATGGAAGTGGACAACAATATGGAACAGTGTAGCTTGTGGCCGTGTTGATAATTCAGATATAATGTATTCACAGGCAGATAGACATGAAACGGATAAAAACGCCAAAAACCTCCAACCTCCTGCTGTGTGCACCTGTGCAGAGTTTCAAGCTCACCTGTGCAACATTCTACTCTTAATATATTATCATCGCCGATCGTAAAACCTTGTCATTGTGAAAGTATAGATACGCGTATCTGGCTTCATCAGCCTTACGTATCAACAACATCTATACGGCCGAAGAATGCCGAAATGTTAACACACAAATTTAATGTGCATTAATCGGATTCACAATAAATAAACAGCATATGACCGGGGCTATAATTAAGTTTTTGTAGGATTTGGGGACGAGGATCAGGTAGGAGTTTTCACTTTATATTTAACTACACGTGGCGCCACATAGTCTGGCGTTCAAATGTCGCAGCGAGTTACGCACGAGCTACGCAATGTGACGTCGGCCTTAAATGGAGCGAAATTGAATCACGTTGTTGACGTCACGTTCAGCGTAAGCACCGTAACGTCGATATTTTGACAAAATTTTTAAATCAAAATAATATATTTTACTTGAATCTCGTACGACATCTCGTGATCACTGTAATTTTCCTTGTACATTGTGTATGCCCTCTAGCGATTGACGGTCTTTTAGTGAAGTTAGCGTCGATAAAAGTCGCTATTTTAGCCGCTCAAAAGCGAGGTGTCAATTTTTGGCAAAAAGGTGATTTTTTGTGTCAAAAAATAAATCCTATTAGGCGACTGAATATGATAAGAGATTAAGATATATAAGGACTCTCTATAGAAACTGCCAGAAGCAGAATATGACGTAATTTAGTCGAGATATAAACGATTGAAAATTTCATCCGAAGTTATAAACCATCCGAAGTTACCTGCGTTTACGGTAAGGGTTGTAGGGATGAGATACGGTACCGTACAAAATACAGAAAGGGTGGGAGTAACAAGGTACCGGTAAGGGTTGTACTGGGCCTGCGTCTACACGCTGCAGTACGGTACCTGAGCTTGTGACCTGAATACTAAAATATCGTAGATGTAGAGCTAGATATAGGGTACGATAAAACAGTACTGTACCGTACGGTACCGGTACCGGTACCGGTACTGCAGTAAAACTAGAAAAGCAAAACATTTTCGGACTTTTGAGTTGATGAATTTGCATTACTGCAACTAAGGTACCGGTACGGTACCGGTACCGTACAGAATGACTGATATGACCAGTGAATAATGGCGGCACTTGTGCATCATAATTATGTGATCCTAAATCCTACCGGTATGTGATGGAAAATTTGTATGTTTTGAACTTATTTTCCATGCCAAAAGGGGTTTTGCGCTAGACCCCAGAAACAAGTTTAGGCATACCAAACATACTTCTAGTGGGCGTAGCATAAAATTTTTTTGATATGTCAATCCTAACTCCCATCTGACTGCGCCATCCAAAAATTACGTCACTACCGGTACGACATCACAATCACGTCATAGAGCTTGCCTAATATCTGAATATACGTACAATCGCCCGAAATGGCATTGCAGCATTGGTGCCGATAACTGTTCAATTTCGGGTGCTCGTTTGCCCGTCTTGGATGGCAGTTTGTATAGTTTGAAGGGCTCTATTACGCAAGTGCAGTTTTAGGTATTCTGTGGCGTCTGCAGCTGCCGCAAAACCATGACGGTATTTCCATACCATGGCCGCTACGGCCAAACCTATGGCGACTGACTTTTTAGCTGCCACAAACCAATGACGAGCTGCGTTACCGAGGCAGCAAATTGAAAACCAAACCAATTGCATGTAAAATTTTGCTGCCGTAACCATGGCAGGTGGGCCGTAAGAACAGGTGGTGACAAATATTGGGTAAGTTGGAACGTTTTTCTTATGGATACAGTTTTGATGGATTTGGGGTAGGGTTTAAGTAGATATAATTCCACATGATCAATTAAAATCTGGTACATCAATTTGTGAATATCCTGTTAATACGGATTACTGAATAGCGCTATGAAATCATGACGAGAGCTGCCGCGGTTATTTCGTGGCAGGAGCTGCCATGAAGTGGTAAGATTTTTCACAAATTTATTTCCTGTGACGTACAATTCAAAAGGATATCACTATATGGTGAGCACCATGAAAATGTAGGGAAATAATTGAAGTACTAGTCTTGCTGATTATGAAAAAAGTTGTTGTTTATAATGTTCACGATTTTGTTGCAAGAGTGTCTATTTAATGTGCATTCTGCCGCAGGGATATTAGCATATTGACATTCTAGAGAAGTAGTGACGAACGCTTTAAATTTACAATATTTTTTGCCATTGTCAAAAAAAACACCTCGCCACCGCGTAAAATAAAAAAAATTGTACATTTGTTCTGGGGCCATTGTGACGTGACAATCCTTAAACTTTTATCTTTTTACGTCAAACTCCACGCTGCGATTAACCGGTTAATTTTACCCGGTTAAAGTATTTTCACTAAAATTCCCAGCCCTATCTAAGAGCTTAAATTTTTATGGATGAACATGGCTGTGTATTCCCACTGATGAGCTTAGTTGTCTCTAATTTGACAAATGCTAATCATTTTTTGCTGGGTTTTTAATTTATAAAATTAACTCATATTTTTTACATTGATATTGTTTAGTTATATATAGCAGGACTTGATATTCTTAAAAATCTGACATTGTCACATTGTGCAGTTATACCTGTGATATGGAAGAAGGTGAAATAATCACTGATAAATCTGCCAATCCCTCCATTATTTCTAATGATGATGATAGTGAGTTAACTGAAAGTAATGTTGAGGAAAAACTAGAAAGTGGGGATCAATCACTGGAACCTGTGGAAGCTGGATTACCTAATAAAAACAGTGAAACAAATGAGAAAGATAATGTTAACATTTCCAGTGAAACTAATGTTGATACAGTGAAAACAGAACCTGATTTTGTTGCTAAATTAAATGAAAATTTATCTGAAATTAAAGATGAACCAAGCAGGTCATTGGAACAAGATATTTCTGATGTCAAAGATGAAATTAAATCGGATAATGATAATCAAACTAGTAAGATGACATATGATACTGATCAAACATCTAAACCAATTGACAACACGATTAAGTGGAAAGTGATGGACAGAATTTGGATGGTGCGGTTCATGGTTCAGGACACTACTGAAACTGAAGAGGGTGAACTAGATGATTCAAATGATGAAAAAAGATAATGTTCCTGATGATTTAACAACAAATAAACAATATTGCAATCAATGAAACTGATAGAACAAATATTGAATCGAAACCAGAAAATACATCGGCTGGTGATGGAATAAAAACGTTCAGAATCAGTAAATGATGATCCAAGAGGGTATGGAATAGATGATAATAGACCGGATGATCTTGAACAATTGGACTATGATGAGGATGACACTGATATTAGAATAAAAAACACAGATTTGTCAACTGATGCGTTTCGTGTAATTGATCGTGCCGTAAAAGTAAGATCTGATGGTGAAGTTGATAGTGATAGCGATGGTGAACTTAAAAGTGATGGAGAAGATTTTTGAAGAAGGAGAGACTAGAGATGGTCCACAAGATGTCCCTCAAGAACAGAAAGACCTTGTAGATTTTTTTTAATGGGAAACTGTACTTGGGGTGACCGTTGTCGATATCTCCACCCTGGAGTGAATGACAGAGGTAATTATAATATGTTCAGTGATAATGAACGCAATAGGCAAACCCAAAGGGACATTCCAGAATTTCATCAACAACCCCAAGGATACAGAGCACCATGGGAAAATGAACCTCCACCTTTTATGCCCCCTCCAGTTGCTGAAACTGCTTGGGAAAAAGGTTTGAGACATGCAAAGGAATTAAAAAAGAGAGCTTTGCAGCGCAAAGTACAGGAGCCTGACTTTGTTCAAAAACGTGAGGTGTTATCTCTAAATCTGGCTTTGAATGAGGATCGTGATATGGATTTGTAGATCATAAACCTCTTGGACCAGCAAACAAAGGATTCGATCCATTTCAGGAAATTGAAGCGGATGAATATGCTGTACCAACACCTGAAGAAATGCGTCGTCAAGCGAGAATGCATCGTGAAAGACAGCGTGGGGGTCCACCACCCCCAATTCGTCACCCACCTGGGAAAGACCACAGACTTCCGCCTCCAGAGCATCTTTTACATCCAAAATCTCACGAAAGAAGGCCCCCTTCACCTCACAGGTTACCACCACCTGGCCATTATCCACCAGACATGAGGAGAATGTCACCACATCAACCCATCTATGGCAAAGATCGTCATCCAAAAGATTCAGGATTTATTCATCGCGTGGATGAGCAGAGAGATGGAAATCGAGATAGACGTCCTGATAAAGATATGCAAAGACCAGACCAGCATTTGCCGTTGCATGATGATCGCAGGGAAGCGCCTCGTGACCAGACCAAAGATGAAAAGTCCCAAATAGATGAATTCAAGTTAGCTGAAAACGGGGCCCCTAATGTAAGAAGTGATCAATGGGTGGATCCATGGGCTCGTGCCCGGCCTCAAGCTAGAGGAAGAAATAAGAATAAAGATTCTTCTTCATCATCATCAGGGTCAAGTTCAGGTTCTTCTTCCCGTTCATCCTCTCATTCATCATATTCATCGAGGTCATCTTCAGGAAGCAGCAGATCATCATCAAGATCATCGGGTTCCTCACATTCCAGCTCGTATAGCAGTCATTCAAGTAGATCTCCAGCACCTTCGAAAGGTGTAAAGTCGAAGAAAAAAATTCTAGCCTCCGCTAAACAACGCAATGCCGCTGTTGGTGCACAAAGAAAGCCCCACAAATTGTAGGTAAAAATACCACTGGTACGAAACCAGTAACACAAATTAAGTCAAGCAAAGACAAACAAATTATTCCACAGGCCAAGGCTCCACCTGATGTTGCCAAAAACTTTTCTAATGCTGCCAACAATGCATCCCTTCCTGTACCTACTAATCTTACCATTAAGCCTATTGTTGCTAAAAAAGATAAAGCATTGCCAAGAAACAGAGAAAATCCTCAAGTAGTAGTGAGTTTTCTCGGTCGGATAGTTCAGCGTCTCCATCACCATCTAGAGGTAAAAACAAAAGCGGTTCTGGCTCTGATTCTGGAAGTAGCGGCAGTTCATCTTCTAGTTATACTTCATCTTCTGGTTCATCTTCTTCAGATTCTGATGGAGATAAAACAAAATCAAAAAATCTGCCAAAGTCTACTGGATCAGCAGGTGGTAACAAACCTCCCACTGTTCCCAAAGTTGCTGCTCAAAAAGGTAAGGTAGCAGTTCCATCTAAACCTGGCCGAAAAGACGTTAAAATGACAATCATTGATAAACCAGGTATTGCTAAAGATCGGAAACGCCCTGCTTCTGAACTTTCAGGTCAAACCAAGAAGCCACCATCTAATAGGAGAGTTGAATTACTTGAACAATTAAGGGCAGTCGAGGATGCAATTGCAAGAAAACGTGCAAAACTGAATTGATCGCGATAATACACAAATGACCTTTGTTTAAATGGTTCTTGCTGAGATAGCACGATGCTAATCCAATTATTTGGTGACGAATCCACCATGATTGTCTGAGTTTGGAGATACCTGCTATCAGATGTATTATACTGTGTGGTGAACCTGTGTGAAACATTGAAAGAGAGATGAAATGTACTGAACATTGTCATTGTTGCAGTATATAAACAGATATCACTCACTGGTTTCATTTTTTCCAAGGTTCCAGATTCCAACATCATTGATCTTATTCTCTATGAATTGATCTGATATGCAGCAAAATCTCAGCAATGTTTGTATGCGACTCTCCCGCAATTATATCAGATGCTAGGGATATGAAAGAGTTTAAAGAAACAATTGCATTACAACTTCCTTTTGAGTTGAGGGGGGGGTTGATTTATTATATTTAAGTGTATGATAGAAAAAATCGTTTAATTAATATTGTTGGTGTAATTTGATCTGACATATACTAGGTAATATGCCATTTTATTATAGGATAAATCCTTCAAGCCGCATTTTGCTAGAATGGAAAATTGCCAGTGCCTATCTACACGTTTAGTCATCTTTGTACCAACTTCTTTCGGCAAATATTTTTTACTATTTCAGACCATTTGAACACCTTGTTTGATTCCATTAGTACGCTTCATCTGTTTTCCTCGAAAGGCTGTATATAACCTATTTAAAAAGATTCGTTAGGAACTTATGGCACGTTCTTAAAAAATATGGGACCTCCTGAAGTATGCGCACCAAGATGGCGCACAACCTGAACGCAGGTTGTGCACCAGGTTAAGGTTCAGGTTGTGCGGCATCTTAGTGCGCATACTTCAGGAGTATCAAAATATGTTTTCAAATAAACTTGTATGCTTTAAATGTCATTTAACTGAAGGCTATTTAATTTTTGAAAGGTTGAAATTTTCCCCTATTCAATTGTACCATCTACAATAAGTTCTGTTTTAGTGCAAGATTTGTAATGTTGGTTACTTAATAACTTCTGTTTATGTGTAGCTTTGAATATCTTTTACAAAAGACCATTTGTTCCTTGTTGATATCATCTTAACTAGTCATTACCTGCCGCATTATTTGATGTTGACTTACAGTGTATCATTTTTTGCTCTTTTCTAATAAAATTGTTTTTAATGAGGAAAAGTGCTCTCACTACACTTGTTTGTTAGAAGTCATTTTATAACCAGGTTTTTTCTTACATATCCCAACTTGAAGATAAAGATTGCAGTAGTTTTGAAATTTCTTAGTTGTGCGATACTTTAGTTCATATTATGACTATGGATTTATTATGGGAATGAATAGCACTATATTGCGTGTTGGAACTTTTGTTCATTATCATAGTTTAACCATCATCTATTGACCAAGAAATTGGTTTTGGCAGTTGTTGGTTCAATAAGTAGCCCTTATGAAATATTTCACTCAATTGACGCGCCCCAAATAAAATGAGTAGAGAAGCTTACCAGTGAAGCGATAAGTCAACAATTGACTTTTGGCTTCGACACTAGATGTAAAGCTCATGTTAGCTATCAATCTTTACCAGATTTTTCAAGTCGTCAGACGGGAGGGGTGGGGGTACATGCCCCCCTCCCCAAAGGAAATTTTGCGTGATTTGCAGCAAGACATAAATTCATACATCTTTTCCAGCACAAGTTTTCTCTATTTTTGACTGCTTTACTAAAAACAATAATTCTTTCACCAAATGAACCAAACGAGTTGGATGAAAATGCGCTTTTATTTGCACTGTAAAACTTTAAGAGTAAAGTACATCTGTAGAGCGATTCTTTAAGATATTGCTGGATAACAGTGGCTACTTTTATCTGGCTTTGTTCGAAGCACAAGGCACGGGTGGGCGTCGTATCCCCCGCTGTTTGGGCTGGCTATGCTTTTCATCAGATGAAGCTACATATAATGCAGATTTCAATTGACGTAATATAGAATCAAATTCTGGATAAAAGCTTTATTTATCGGTAGAAATATTTTAATATGCTTATTATCATCTTCTCATTATTAACATCGATGCAAAGACATTGCGCATACCGTTGTTAATAATTATTTAAAGGCTAAATTAGCAAGAAATATGGCATTGTTTGTTCTAACTAAACTACACGATCGCGTCACACAGTAGGAAATGCCATCCCTGGTTTAGCAGATGTACCGACAGCGCCAAACGACTGAAGGAAAAAACGATGTCGATGAAATCTGGAAATCTCAGTGCTCTTTAAACCTAAAATGTTATAAGACTGAAACCTACAACGGGAAAGTTGGGCAAATGCAGTCACTCAAACGCTGAAATTCGAAAGAAATTATTCGCTGAAATTCCTTCCTTCCCGTGCTAAGGTAAATATTGTCACTAACATTCGACAGGAAGAAGTTTCTTCTCTGAAAATCTTCTTAAAAAGCTAAATGTGCTGATGAAAATAACAAGCAACGGTTTTCTTCAATGTGGCGTGATTTCGGAATCAATAAGAGGCTGAAATCTAAAAAAAAGCGAATTATTTTTCTGACGGTAGTCTACGGATTCACTTGAAATGTGAACTAATTAGAAAGCTGAAATCCAAAAAAAATAGGCGTTTATAGGATAGAGTTTCTGGTTTTGAAATTTTTATGCTTGAAATAATTATCGTATTATTACGGCTTTGGCTCGTCACCTCTTCTTGGGACGATTTGCACATATTTCTGCACAGTAGGCTAAAAGTTTTACACTTGCGCTATGGGTAGCGCCAGAATGCTCCAGTTTGAAGCCCATTGTACAACCATCTTCGAACGACGGGGAATGACAATCCTACTTCACAAAGACATAATTATAGTTGAACTTTACACCGATCGAATATGCCACTTAAATTCATATTTAGTTTACTTGCAGTATCGATCTCATTTATCTACCCAACCCCAATATTAAAATTAAGGATATTTTACTGTATATCTCAATGGCAGGTAAAATGACTATATTTTTATGTGATCAAGTAGAGTAGTATGGTGGCCCATCGTTGTCACGCGTAAAATTTAAAAAAAAATGAAAAAATAAAAGGAAAAAGCCAAAATAAAAAAATAGTTGTGAAAAAACATAAAAATAATTAAAAAAAAAGAAATGAAAAAAAAAATTAAAAAAAAAACGAAAAAAAAAAAAAAATTAAAAAAAAAAATTAGATAAAAAGAAAATAAAAAGGTTGACAACGATGGTCCGCCTCGTGGCCCATCGTTGTCACGCGTTTTTATTTTTAGAAAATTTGATGCTGCTTTTTATTTTCTTTTTATTCAATTTTTTTTTTTTTTTTTTAATTTTTTTTTTTAATTTTTTTCCATTCTTTTTTTTCGTTTTTATTTTCAAATTTTTTTTTTTTAATTTTAATTTTTTTTTTCAATTATTTTTATGTTTTTTCACAACTATTTTTTTATTTTTGGTTTTTTATTTTTATTTTCAATTTACGCGTGACAACGATGGGCCACCATAGAGTAGTCTACATTCTACGACATTCTTATGTGATCAACTGATATCATAGTATGACTGAAAAGGTGTGCTTACTCAGTGGTAACTGATGAATTGACCCGCGATAGCAAATAGGTTCGTTACCCCCGCATTAGAGTATGTACTTGATACCGATTCCAACGAAAAAATGCCGATAACGATACGCCGGTATTTTAAAAAGTCGCTATTCCAATTGTATATATATTCATTTTTGTTTGTATATTGTTGTATTGTTATCATTTTGATTATACGGGACGGACGGGATAGAAAGTCTGCGACTTACATTTAAATTGCACATTTTTCTTCATTTTTTTTCCAATTTGAAGAGCAAGTATTCCAGAACATGAGAAAATGATATTTGTGATTCAGATGCGTGAATGATGTGTCATTTAGGGCAGTGGTCGGCAACCACCGGGCCGCGGCCCATCGCCGGTCCGCGGAAAGGTTACTGCCGGTCCGCAGAGAGGTGACACAAAAACGGACAAGGCCGTAATAAAACCTTCACAATCCCTACGACTAAAAAACAGCACCCAACAGAAAACCAGACAAACCCAACAGCAGGGGTCGGAAAAAATGCGGCCCGCGAGCTAATTTGTTGCGGCCCTTGAACGACCCGACATTCAATAAATAAAACAAAAATTAAATCCCAAATTTAATATTGTCTCTACACGGATTTATGCGGTGACAAGTGCTGCTGTACGGCGCTTCTTATGTAACAAGTAGCGTCGGTCGTATGTTGTTCGAGTTAATTTTGATTTTTAAAATTTGAAAATGTCTGGAAAACGGAGCGACGTGGGTCGACCATTCCAAAGTGCTTGAACGGAAAAATTTTTTTTTTTTCTTGCGCATTCCAAAACCAGTTTGCTCGATATGCCCAGTCAGCATCGCAGTTGTTAAGGGTTTCAATGTTAAACTCGTTACGAAACGAGTCGTCGAAAATTCGACCCCGACACCCGGGACTGCGCCACAGATCATCTGTGCGACAGTGCAAAACGTGTAATGTGCACGTTCGGAAGAACATATGGCCTTGAGCAGCTTTATCTAAAATACATTACACTTTGATTAAATTTCGTACTCGCTCGTCATTTGGACGACGAGTTGCCATAAAAACATCATCTTTCACATTGATAATAAGTATATAAAAACAATGTATTGTTGGATAATAAAAAAAAGCCACATATACATCTCATTGGGACAGACTTTCAACACAGCAATAGAAGGGTAGCAATGCGGATGCGCCATAATTTGAAGTTTAATTATGGTAGCGATTGTTCGAAGGCGGAAATATTGCGGCCCGCGCGCTACCAGAAATGTTTATATTTGGCCCGCAAGTACATTAAGTTTGCCGACCACTGCATAACACTATTGAGCAACATGTCTGATTTCATAAACAATTGCCATGTCAGTATGTCGCAATAATGTTGGGTCAATTGTTTTCTCTACGCCCGTATAAGAATGTCTCTCATCAGTCCGACTAAGATCTCCCCAACAAAACATTGTTAACTTTCCCGAAATCTTAATGTGAGGCCTGGTTTTCAATATTGATAACTACAAAAACGAAATAGGCTGGAAGTAAGAACACGTTACGTGTGTCAATGTCGACCATATCTCGAATGTGGGAACAGTTAATGGCCATCAAACAAATACAGACATCACATTAAATAGCATCACCTCATTTTTAGTATATTGTCAACATAAATTTCCTAATGCGTATAATTTATTGCATAGGCTTAGTTCGTTTGTATAAAGGTGGTCCGCCAAAAGTTTGGTCAAGCTTCACCGGTCCGTCACTTGAAAAAGGTTGCCGACCACTGATTTAGGGAACATCTAACGGTTTAGAGCACTTGAATTAATTGCATCGTAAATTGCTTTGAGAGTAGCTTACGTATTCAAAAGTTTGTTTCAACACTTTCATTAAACAGATTATGGTAGGTTCTGCAAACGTTTCGTTGCGTGCGGTTGTAGTTAAAGGTGAGTACATTTAGTAATACATTATATATAAATGCTGTAGGAATTGTAAAATAGTATCGATCAGTTTTGGCATAGAAAGGAATATTTATAAAAACAACGGCTTTACAGCTCGAGGTGAAAAAAAAACACGTATTCAATTCAAATACAGGGCTACAGAAAAAAAAAATTTGAAAGATTTTTATACGTTTGCATGTGCAAATTGCCAAAAAATCAATGAGAATTCTCCACTTCATTGTTTGTAGCTAGAAACAGTCATGCCATTTTAATATGATGTATAAGCTTGATTAGACGAGCACAAATTCTATTACCTTTTGAGGGAACTAGGAAAGACAAAACACGTTGTTCTTTTTCGACCGAAAATGTATGTGCATGCTTCGACGAGCACAAATTCTATCTATATTCTGGCAAGGATTTAGGAAAGTCAGGCACGTTCAACGGATCTTATGTGCTTGCTTCGGCAAAAACAATTCCTATATCCCGGCGGTGGTTTAGGAGAGTCAAATACGTTGTTCTTCTTCATCGGATCTCATTTTCATACCACTTTGCTATAACATGCGGCATACATTATGAATCCCCTTGGAAAAATGCCAATCTTAATGTCTAACCAAATTTTTTGAATATTGTTATCGAATCTCAAATTCTGGTATTTCAGAGTGTGCACGGTTTATAGATGTTTCCAGAGCATTGGCTTCTATGTTTTTGTAATTTGGAAATCATT